CAATAAAAAAAAAAAAGAGTCTAATTTTCACCCAAAAATAAAAAAAATTAAAAAAAAAAATTAAAAAAAAAAAAACAACAACACACAACTTTTGAAAAGGGGATAGCAAAAATAAAAAATATGTGTGTAAATTAAAATAGAATAATAAAAATAAAAAAAAATGAAATATAATAAAATAAATTATGTTATTTCTTAAATTTTCTTCATATTTTTATTAATAGCTTTTAAAAAATATTTTAATTACACACATTTTTATTAATAGCTTTTAAAAAAAATTATTTTTTTTTATTATTTTTTTTTTTTTTTTTTTGTTTTTTTTTAAATTTTTTATTAAAAAAACAATAAGTGTGTGGTTTAAACCACTCAACTGAGACACTTTAAAATTTCTTCAAAAGTTGGACGTTTTGATTGGGATGCATCACTGCAATTTGAGTATATGCTAAACCAGTCAATTCTTAAAAAGTTATCCCGAAGAATATTACTTGCAAGTATCTTTTTGAGAACAACAGAAAAAGAGTACACATCAGTTTTTTCATTTAGATCTGCACGAGTTTGGCTTTTATCACGTAGTTCTGGTGCAATGTATTCAATTTTACCTTTACATTTGATTTCTTCGTGTGGATCATTATTACGGCTGAAAGCAAAGTCCACAAACTTGATACGGCATTTGTTTCCAAAACGATATACTAAAATGTTGGAAGTTGAAATATTAGCGTGGGTTACACCTATGGAATGCATGTATACTAAGGCTTTAACGATTTTACGGAGAACAGAAAATAACTCGACTGGGTTGGGGTTGGTATTCAAGTAATTTTCTAAGGTGATTCCATTGACCAATTCCATAATAATATAATAGAATATTCCTAATTTGAGAATGCCGTGGAGTGTGGGGAAAGATTGATGTGGGGCTAATAGTTTAAGATTAGCAGTTTCGTTGTAAAATGTGTCACCTTTCATTGGATAACGTTTACAAGCAACTTGTATATTATTGTGGGTACCGATGAAAACCTGAGAAAAGTAACCTGAACCGATACATTGACCAGATACATAGATTTGGCCTGGTTCAATTGTTTCGAGCTCTTGTTCTATTTCTATTTGTTGCTGTTCTTCATCTCCATAAATCTTAACGACCATGTCGAGATCAAGATTACATGTGCATTTTTTACCCTCCTTTTCATGTTTAAAGATGAATTTCATCATTTCATTATTCAAAATTTTTAGTTCCAATGGAATATCCATATTAGATATTGTTGGCTCTATACCTATAATCTTATTTTTATTTTAATTGAGTAATAATAATTATTATTAATATATTTATATATTTTATTTTGAATTTTAAATTATTTACCTGTTTTTTTTATTTTATTTTTTTTTATAATAAAAGTTTTTATTTGTTAAGAATATTTTATATTTATATGTTATGAATTTTAAAAAAAAAAAAATAGAATTATATAAATAAATAAAAAATAGAATTATATAAATAAATAAAAAATAATACACAAAAAAAAATAATACAATAAAAAATTTAATATATATTCATTTATATATTTACTCTTAACACATAATATAATAATAATAATATTGTGTTTGTGTGGTGTGTTGAACTTTGTATGTGGGTATTGAAAAAATAAATATTTCTTCAGGGGTACCTTTGTTTTATCAATCGTTAGATTAAAGGTATTTTTAGCTGTAAGATTGCTGATTGCTTAAATATTTAAGTTTGTTTGTGTCTTTTCAAAATTTAAATCAATTGTTATCGGAATAAAGAAAATTATTTTACAAAAAAAACAATTAAATTATATATAAATTATAACAATAACTATAAACTTAATATTATTATACAATATGTTTGTGTTAGGGGTTGATTATGTTTATATGATTCTATAAATAAACATAGCAGTTATTAAGCTATATATACGAAAAAAATTGAATATTAAAGAAAATAAATGTAATAATACTACAAAAATACTACAATACCCCTAAAAAAAGATGTTATCATTATAACGTTATATAATAAATTTATTAAGATTAACTGTATCTATGTATTTGTTTAATTTGTTATTGGAATATTATTCCAATTTGTAAAAAAAAAGAATAATTATATATCTTTTCGTGTATTTGATAAATTTAATATTGCTATTATTATCATAATATTGTTATAATAGTATTATTATTATTAATATTAATTAATATTATTAATATTAATTAATATTATTATTAATTAATATTACTGTTCATAGTTGAAGTTATTATTTAACAAAAATTTAGTTTTGTGAACAAATAATTTAAAAAAAATAAAATTAATTTTGTGATTATTAAAAAAAAAAAAAATTAAAAAAAAAAAAAATTTTTTAATTATTTTTTCTATCATGATTTTTTTACCATTTTTTATTGATTTTCCCGCAAGTCTTTTTTATAAACGAAAAAGAAAAAGATATAAATATAAAATAATAAAAACAAAAACTATTATGATCTACCGTTTTTTTTATTATTTCTGAAGAATAAATTTAATTAATTTTTTAGCACACTATCCTTTTTATCTATGAGGTATTCTCTTTTCAAATAAAAGGCGTAGCCATCAAACTTTTTAGTATTGTTGGCCAAAAAAAAAAAAAAAAGAAAAATCTATGATATTATTGACACATTCTGTAGAGTAGAAAATGAAGATTATAATAACAAAAAAAATAAAAATAATAAAAGATATAGGTATTGTATTTAATTTATTTAATTAATTAATATTAAAATAATTAAAAAAAAAGAAAAAAATTAAAAAAAAACAAAATTAAAATATTTAAAAATCATCAAATATTTGAAAATTATTTTTAGAAATATTTTTTTTTTTTTTTTTTTGGATTAAGATAAAATTTATAAATTGGGAATTTTTTTTAATATTTTTTTTTTTTTTTTTTTTTATTTTATTAAAATTTTAAAATTTATCCCATTTCTATTTTTTTAAAGGGATTTGGTTTTTTTTTTTTTTTTTGGATTAAGATAAAATTTATAAATTGGAATTTTTTTTAAAATTTTTTTTTTTTTTTTTTTTTATTTTATTTAAATTTTAAAATTTATCACATTTCTATTTTTTTAAAAGGATTTGGTTTTTTTTTTTTTTTTTTACAGCATTTTTGAACTCTCTTTTTCCTCCTCCATAGAGTCATAGAATGGTTCCATTATCCCATACACACCCCCCAACAGATTTCATTAGAATAGGTTCTATTCTTTGATCCTTGCTCTCTTTTCTACCATTCCTCTACCTTTGTTATTTTTGATGTTCCACATATTTCTGCAGTTTGGATGGATTTTGTTGCTTTTGTTGTTCTTGTAGAATCTCTTGTTGTTTTTGTTGTTCTTTGGACTTTTTGGTTCTTGTAAAGCATGTGGAATTGGTTGTTCTTGTTGCTCTTGTTGTTGCGGATCATTTTCAGAAAGCAGAGGGCTTGCATCTATTGTTTTTAAAAATTTTTTAAAATTTGAAATTATATAGATTTTTATTTGCATTTTTCCCAGATTAAATTAAATAAAGTTAAAAATTAAAATTTAGAAAAAAGGTAAAAGAAATAAAGAGTAATAAATATTATTATTATTACAACAGAAGTTTTTTATAGTAAATAATAATTTAATAATATTTAATAAAAAAAAAAAAAAAAAAAAAAAAATTACACCCATGAATTTCTTAAGTATTTGTTTTTTTGTTGTTACCACAATTTTACAAATAAAATATTAAACAAGTTTTTATAATTAGAACAGACACTGTAATTTTTATTTTTTTAATGGTTTTTTTTAAAAGAGTTTAATTTTTTTAT